CCCCCCCCCCCCCCACACACACACACACTCTCCACATCTGACCGCTCGCCACTCCCCCTGGGGTACACTTATTAAAAAGGGGGCCGCCGGGTGTACGCTTATTAAAAAGGTTGAAAAGCCCTGCTCTAACAGTTTATTGTTATTGCTCCTTGTCCTCCTCTAGGACACCCTAGTGGACAGTTTTTCTCACAGCTCCCAATATTCACCCCTTATATACTTATAGATGGTCATCAAGTCCCCTCCTCAGTCTTCTCTTCCCCAGGCTAAACAGTCCCAGGTCCCTTAGTCTTTCCTCCTACGGTTTGTCCTCCAGGCCCTTAATCGTTCTTGTTGCCCATCTCTAGACCCTTTCAAGACTCTCCACACTTTTTTTGAAGTTCAGCAACCAGAACTGGACACAGTACTGCAGCTGGTGTCTCAACAGCGCTGAGTAGAGAGGAAGTATCACTTCCTTAGCCCTACTCACAATGCATCAGATAATGCATCCCAGTATGAAATTAGCTCTGTGGACTACAGCGTCGCACCGGCAGCTCATGCTCATCCTGTGATCAACCATAACACCAAGGTCCCTTTCAGCCATTGTGCTGGCCAGGACATCTCCTCCTAACCTATATTCTTGTCACTGGTTACTTCTCCTCAGATGAAGCACTCTGCATTTATCCTTATTGAACTTCATCCAGTCCTGCTCCACCCACCTTTCCAGCTTGTCCAGGTCCGCTTGGATCTGCATTCTATCCCCTAGCATGACCTCTTTTCCCTGTAACTTAGAATCGTCTGCAAACTTGGCCAGCATGCTTTCTACATCCTCATTTAAATCTAAGTCATCGATAAAGATGTTGAACAGTATAGGGCCAAGAACTGGACCCTGCAGGACACCACTGGCCACCACCCACCAAGACAATACAGACCCATCAACTAAAACTCTCTGGGGTCAATCCCCTTGGCTAGTTCCCAAACCACCTGACCATGGACTCTGCCAGCCCACAATCATCAGGGTTTTTTTTATAAAAGCATCATAGCAAAGGCCTTTTTAAAATCCAAGTATATGACATCAACCATGTCTCCCACATGGAAGCGGTTCATTACTTGATCATAGAAGGAGACGAAGTTGGTCAGACATGACCTGCTCACAGTGGAACCATGTTGGATATCCTTCAGCATCGTGCCTTCTGCCAGTCTCTCACAAATGGAATTCTTGATTACTTTTTTCCAAAAGTTTACGTGGTATTGAGGTCAAACTGACTGACCTATAGTTTCCCAAATCCTCCTTCCTCCGCTTCTTAAAGATTGGCATCACACTGGCCCTTTTCCAGTCTTCCGGGACCTCTCCCTGTTGCACTTAAAAGTGGGTTTTTAAACCTAGTGCTTCAAGAATTGACACAACACTTGGTTGATTAATAGCATAAAGGCTTGCTTTAATAACTACCAACAATCTATAAAACCAAATGATAGAAAAACAATAGACTTTTCCTTAGTATTCAATAAATGCGCTATTACAGTCCTTGTATTATCTTAGCTGCAAAGAGATCTTTAACCAATGCAGGCAAGCAGCTGCTCCTATACAGTGTTACAGAGTACAGATCCTTCACTTGTGTGCTGGATGGTGCAGGATGGCTTCTTTATCTTCTCTGGACTGCACACTTTGCTGGCAGTTCTGTCTTGCTTTTTATACTGTTTTAAATGTATAGCTTCAAAGCATTTTCCTTGATGGCTGGCCAATTAAAGTCCGAACAAAACAGGGTGACCATCATATTATAATTGTTAAATTGCCTGGCTCCTGTGTTTGGATTTGTTTAGGTGTAAAGACTTGTATTTTTTTCAGCCACTGCAATTAAATGTGAAGGGCCTTGAGTGGTCAAACAGGATACCTAGAGGCATTGGTTATCAGACCTGTCTTTGGTTTATCAATGGGGCAAATTGGCAATAGCTTGTACCAGTGATGGTCTATTTACAAAACTCCAGATGTACATTGAACAATTAAGACATCTCTAATGCTTGGACATTGGATGCCTGTTTTGAGAAATGTGAGGATGTTATGTACAGGACATCTTTCCGGCATCTTTTACAGGTTTTGCTTGAAATGTATATTTAGTCTTTTGTCTTCTTTAGTTGCTAGTTCAATTGAAATGTATACATAGTTTCCTTGCCTTCTTTAGTTACACTGGCTCAGCCTTCTTCTCTGACTTTCTTAACCTGGAGATACACATGTGATGAGTGTGTCAGGTCTCTGCCAACAATTTTCCTTTTAGAGGAACCATCACTCTTTTTATTTTATGGCATGGGTCTGGTATTGAGTACCACAAGCTCCTCTCTCTCTTATGCCTAGTGGGTTGCAAGCCATTAAAACAATTTGATATTGTTTGTGGCAGGCTTGTTACTACAACCCACTCTTGCCCCATCCACTATCTTGCATTTTTGTGCAAGAGACACTGTCCAAGCTTTCACAGCTTTCATAGCCAGCACTCCCGAGCACCACAAGTCTTAAAATACCTTCACCAACGGTTCTGCAATGACTCTAGCCAATTTCCTCAGCATTCTCAGGTGCAGTCCATCCGGTCCTGTGGACTTGAAGACATTCAGCCGCTCTAAGTGCTCCCTCACAGTGACCATTTGTCGGCAATTATCCCACTGCATCCGTCCAGTATCTGACCAGGTGGGCAACCACCATTTGTATGCAGGAACACAGATGCAAAGTATTTATTAAACAGTTCAGCTTTCTCCTGATTGTCTGTTATCAGCTGTCCTGTCCCATTCTGCAAGGATCCCACATTTCCCTTGGTCTTCCTCCTGCTCTCTGTATACCTAAAGAAGGACTTATTGTCATTGATTTCAGTCACCAACCTGATCTTGGTTGCTGCCTTTGCCTTCCTTATCATCTCCCTACAAATACAAGCTATACTTGTGTATTCCTCCTTGTTTCCACTCTCCGTAAGTCTCATTTTCTGTTTTAAGTACTCCTTGACTCCTCTGGTAAGCCAAAAGGGCTTCCTGGCCCCTTTACCACCTTTCCTGCATACAGGAATGGACCTCTTCTGTGCTCTGAGGATTGCTCCTTTGAGAAACAACCACCTTTCCTGAACTCTCTTCCCCTCCAGTCCCTCTTCCCATAGGGTCTCTCCCACTATTTTCCTAAGCTCATTGAAGTCAGCCTTCCTGAAGTCAAGCAACTCTGCCCTAGTGGCTGACTTCCTGCTCTATGACAGATAGTGAATTCTATCATTGCATGGTCGTTATCTCTCAGATTACCCTCAATCCTCAGATCTCCCATTAGGTCATCCCCTTTGGCTACAACCAAATCCAGAAAAGCCTTCCCCCTGGTCAGCCCATTCATTAGGGTATCTGATAAACCTAAAGTGGGCAGGAGCATCCAGCCTGCCACAAAACTTCCCAGTCTGACCCTATATGCACCTTCCAGAAACAGAGTGTCTGCCTGAGGGTTTGCCTTCAGAGTTTCTCCTGAACTAAATAAAGTTCTTCCATGCAGGTCAAAAACCTATGTGACTTGTCAGATCTGGCCGAGTGCTCCTCACAGCAGATGTCAGGGTAACTGAGGTCACTCATGACAATCAGGTCCACTTGTCCGTGTTGAATTTAGGCAGACCCTACATTCTACAGGGCAGACCCTACATTGAAAGACTGCGGGACCTAAACCTGTTCAGCCTTCACAAGAGAAGGCTGAGGGGGGACCTGGTGACTGTCTATAAACTCACTAGGGGGGACCAGAAGGGTTTAGGGGAGACACTGTTTCCCTTAGTGCCCCCTGGCATGACAAGGAACAATGGACACAAATTATTAGAGAGTAGATTTAGATTAGACATCCGCAAGAACTACTTCACAGTTAGGGCGGCTAGGAGCTGGAACCAACTTCCTAGGGAAGTGGTGCTGGCTCCTACCCTGGGTATCTTTAAGAAGAGGCTTGATGACCACCTGGCTGGACTCATTTGAGTCCAGTCTTTTCTCCCGCCCAGGCGGGGGGTCGGACTTGAAGATCTACAAGGTCCCTTCCGACCCGACTTCTATGATTCTATGATATGATTCTATGAATTTCTCCTGGTAGATTGCAGACCATTTTTACAATCTAGCTGGGTCATTCTGGATCCTAGCCCTACCCTCCAGAGTTTCTGCAGCTCCACTCAACTTGGGGTCATCCTCAAATTTGCTTAAGCATGTATTCAATCCTATTGTCCACGCTATTAATAAAATTATTAAACAATACTGAACCCAGGACAGACTGGGGAACCCCGCTTGATAACTCCTCCTAACTAGACATTGAGCCATTGGTGACTACCCATTGAACACAATGATCTAATCTGTTATGTATCCATATTACAGGACTTTCATCTAGTCTGCTGGTATATTTTTTTAGTTTGTTAATGAGAATGTTGTGGTCAAAGCCTTGTTAAAGTTAAGGTATATCACATCCACACTGGCCCAATGATTCATCATGATCACGCATTATGATCAGCACCTAGTCTGCTCTGACCTCATCATTTAGGCATTTGAATACCTGTACTCGGATGCAAGCATATGCCCTGCTGTTAGCACAACCCTTGTCAAATTTGGAATTCTGCTCAGCCATACTATGAATCCACTCTTTTCCTAAAAACAAAAAAGTGAAGTGCTACTATCATTTTCATATTATGCTGACCTAGCCATAGTGCTGTTGGACAGACTACAGTACAATTATTGCACTTCTCCAGTACTGTTTCCTTAAGTACAACAAATTTTCTGCAGAGAAACACCAATAGTTCCACTTCCTTTTCTTTACCCATACCAAGAATTTTTATTGTGGGAAAGATGAGATACTGAGAGCTGACCTTTAGTGCCATTGTTGTTGTTGTTAAACATTTATATTACAATAGCACTGAATGCCCTTAATGAATCTGGAGTTCTATTGTGATAGTTACTACACATGTATATGGTAAGATGCTACAGATGTATATTAAGACACTTGACCCAAAAAATGCAAGTGCACTACTATTATTTGTGGCAAAGTTTCTAGTTCTGAAACAGTACAAGATAGTTTTCAACTGGGCAATTAAAGAACCATGACTGCTGTCTATCACCTGTAAAACCACGCCAGGGTTTTTGCTTCCATTCACCCAGTCAGGAGCTGAACCTTCACATATTTCAGATTCATTCTTATTATGCCTACTATGGCCATGTTACTAAATGCCTGAGGTTGTGTTAAACTGGTGTCTCTAAGGCTTGATACCATTCTCCCTCTTTTCACAGTTTGCTTTCTTCTCCCTGGGAAGTGGTATAGCTTAAGTTTTTGGTCCATATATGAAGATGGCCAACATGAAGTTGAGGGCCTTCTGGTTCTGAATAAATTAAAGGTCTAGTGAAAATAGGGGATTTGGAGGGCTCCCTGTTTTCTGAAGACAATTCCAGCTGAGAAGATATATTTGATATAAAAGGGATTACTAGAGATTTGGGAATAACAGCTGAAAGAAAATGACCCACTGTCTGACAAAAATGCAGCTCCATACACTTGATTATTTTGGTTGCCCTTCTCTGTACCTTTCCCAATTCTACTTCCTCCTTTTTAAGATGTAGAGACCGGAACTGTGTATAATATTCAAGATGTGGGTGCATCAAGGTTTCGTATAATGGCATGATGGTGTTCTCCATTTTATTTTCAATTCCTTTCTTAATGATGTCCAGCATTTTTGGCTTTTTTTGATCACACTGAGTTTATGTTTGAGATAACTGTTTACAATGACTCCAAGGTCTCTGTCCTGAGTCATAACAGATAGCTCAGGACTATGGTTGTATGGGATGATTTGGATAAGGTTGATCTTGCGTCAGGCAGTGGTTTGGACTAGATGACCTCTGGAGGTCCTTTCCACTTCTACTTATAGCTCTATTACTATGACTCAAGGGAATATGGCTTGAGGGTGGGGTAGACTTGAAGAACACTAACTTAATTTGAAACACAAAGAGATATTTCTGTTTTAATGAACCAGCACTAGTGAGAAAGCAAGCTGCTGTTCCTGGAGAAGGAAGGTAATTATATGTGGATGTTCAAAGAATATTTTGCATTAATGTTTCTAAAGAGACAGGGGATAGAAATTCACCCTGTTTTCCAAGAAAAAAATGAGATTAATTTACTTCTCAAGGCTGTAGACCTGCACAAATGTTAGAGTCCTATGTTTTATTTAAATAGGAACAATCTGACTGGACTGCTTAAAACCTGACCACTTCAAAGGCTTCAAAGATTTCATTTGCAGGCCTACACAGACAGCAGGATAGATTCCCAGGAGAGAAGGAGGTGGGGTCTCTGCAAGATTGAAGCTCCCTGGTACCAGAGACCGGAACTTAAATGCTGAAGTGGGAATACAGAGAAGCCTGAGACTCCTTTGAATATGTACTAAGAATGTGAGACCCACATATTCTGTAACTTCAAAGGCTTGAGCCTACCTAAGCAAGGCTTAGGGATGCTAGGTTGAAGTATGCTTCCTGTATATGGAATCAAAACATGTGGCAGAGGTGATATATTTTATCAGAACAACTAGATATTTACAAAAAAAATTCTTTATTTTCAAGCTTTTGGGCACAGGCAACCTTCATCAGTCATAGGAAATTGCAAAGATTGTAAAAGTTCTCCTAGGTAGAAATGAAAATTCATATGAATTCATATGAATTTTTATTTCTCCTTAGAACTTTTACAATCTTTGCAATCTCCTGTGCCTAATGAAGGATGCCTATGTCCACAAGCTTCCAAATAAAGACTTTTTTCGCAAATATCTAGTTGGTCCAATAAAAGATATCACCTCTCCTATGAGTTTTAATTCATTTTGCCTCTAGACCAATATGGCCACAACCTGGATACCTGACTTCCTGTATCATTCATCTCTGATTTAGTTTATCTTTGTTTTGCTAATTTGTGTCTAACATAATACAACACAGCCTGCCCAGGGGGAACACAAAGAACCCTTCAGCATCCCAAAAGGCAGGTCCTTCTCATAAGCCTTGCAGAACAGGCACTCAGTGAAAGGCTCAGACCAATGAGTCCTGTCCCATAGATGTGGGCAGTGCTCCAGCTGCATGTTGCCTTACTGTTTATTTCTAAACACCAAGAATAGCCATATCCTTTCAGCACACAAAACACTAGCTAATGTTGAATCTCCATATGAGAGCAGAGTGCATCAGACTCATCTTATGCCATATAGATAGAGGCATAGCAATTTCCCACAGCACCCTGGGTAGAGTGCTGACCACTGCAGAGCTGGAGGCAGGGAACAAAGACTCTTACCTTCCCTGGTTCTCTCCACACTCTAGCAGCAGCTTGTGCAGCTGCACTAGCCTCTCACTGTTGCAGCTGAGGAACAAATTCAGTAGGGGGTACCAGAATGCCCCCACTGTCCCACACCATGTCCCCAGAGTCTTTGCTACAGCAGGCACAGCTGTACACTGCCCAGCCATAGAAAGTTGGGACCTGTCGTATATGCAGAGGTTGAGCTGAATGGTGCCACTCCCTGGGATTTTTGCCATGGGAGGCATAGCTGGACACTCAGTAGAGTATCTGGGGTAGGGAAGCAAACAGGGCACCAGAGTCAACCCACAGGGAGCCCATGCCGCAGGGCTGGTGCAGCTAGTATACAGGGAGCTGGTCCCTCAACTTCAGCAGCCCTATTGCAACCCAACAGACTATGGAGTGCAGGGCTGCCCAGTTTCTGTGACTGTGCAGCATTGGGATGCACCTACCATAGTGATGGGGATGGTGGAGGAGATGGTGGAGGCGATTCTGGCACCCTCTCTAAGTCAGTGTCCAAAGGTGTCTCGCTTGCCCAACTCTAGTTATGCCACTGCATGTAGAAATAAAAATGCTGTCCAAAATGGAGAATGTCATCGTGCACTGGCAGGAAGCCTTCTTGCATTTCAAAATGAAGAACACAGAAACCTGAACAATAACTTCCAACAGTTACGTCCCCCA